GTTTAATTCCGCTACATTTTACGTTTCCCATTTGTTTGTGTAAAATATTAAACTTGACAAACTTCCTTATTAAGGTAATGGCAATGATGAGCTATTGTCTGCAGGTTCTCGGCGCGTGTTTGCGTTTGTTCCTAGAGGCGGGCCCAGGTCTACGCCGACCGCAGATAGAAAAGTATTTGTTGATCGATGTTAAGGCTGGGGACAAATACGGGCTTTTTATTGGCCGGTGTGGGCTTACTGGCGTCCTGCGGTGTGACCTGATTACAGGAATACTGGGCTTTGTATACTAGGACATTGGGCTTTATATACCAGGACATTGGGCTTTATGCACTAGAACATTGGGCTTTATATACTAGAACATTGGGCTTTATATACTAGGACATTGGGTTTTATATACTAGGACATTGGGCTTTACATACTAGGACATTGGGCTTTATATACTAGGACATTGGGCTTTATATACTAGGACATTGGGCTTTACATACTAGGACATTGGGCTTTGTTTACTAGGACATTGGGCTTTATATACTAGGACATTGGGTTTTATATACTAGGACATTGGGCTTTATATACTAGGACATTGGGCTTTATATACTAGGACATTGGGCTTTATATACTAGGACATTGGGCTTTATATACTAGGACATTAAGCTTCTTTACTAGGACATTGTGAATTTATCCACCGTTAGAAAAGAATGAGAATTGATTAGGGTCGGACGTCATTACGTATGATATATGAGTCATGACCACCCACTGGTAGAAAGTAATTAATAATTAGCTTGAGTTATAGAGTCTAGATGGTTCTAGATTTATCAGTTATGTGTATCAACATATCAGTATGGGATGAACAGTTGAAACCACTGTAGATCAGCATATCACTATGAGGTGATCATTATGGATGATACAACAATTGCAACTACTTTAGATGAACATATCACTATGGGATGATACAACAATTGAAACTACTTTAGATCAACATATTACTCTGTATGATACAACAATTGATACTACTTTAGATCAAAATATCACTCTGGATGATACAACAATTGAAACTACTACAGATGAACATATCATAATGGATGATACAACAATTGCAACTACTTTAGATCAACATATCACATAGGCCCACATCTACGATACCATCTTTAAAGCCCACATCTACGATACCATCTTTAAGGCCCACATCTACGATACCATCTTTAAGGCCCACATCTACGATACCATCTTTGAGGCCCACATCTACGATACCATCTTTGAGGCCCACATCTACGATACCATCTTTGAGGCCCACATCTACGATACCATCTTCAAGGCCCACATCTACGATACCATCTTTAAAACCCACATCTACGATACCATCTATAAGGCCCACATCTACGATACCACCTTTAAGGCCCACATCTACAAAACTACTGCCCGCACACCAAACCGTTTCAAGTGAATTAAAAACTCCAGCCAATCAACTACACAACGATTTTCTAGAGAACTTCTGGCAGTACACTTGAGGTTCAACTATGATTACACATGTCTTCATTGGATTGTTTTCTTTATTGTGGGATTGTTTCCTTTTTGTGGGGTTGTCTCCTTTTTCGCTATATTGTTTTCTTTTTCATTGTATTGTTTTCCTTTCGTTGTATTGTTTTCTTCTTCGTTGTATTGTTTTCTCTTTCGTTGGATTGTTTTCTTCTTCGCTATATTGTATATAGTTTACTGTTCTTCCTTTCTTTTCCCTCTGTCGGAACAGACAATGTATGTACTGTTACTAGTAGATTAGGGTCCACATAGGATTTTAGGTGTATATATATATATATATATATATATATATATATATATATATATATATATATATATATATATATATAATATTATAATGGCCGTTCTCTCTCTGTCTCACATCCCTCGAGAAAGAAAAAAAAAAGGAGGTAACTCAAAGGCGAGTAATTTCCCCTGGAGTCACTAACAGCTGGATGGGTAGTTGTCCAGCAGTCTACAGCAGTCTTATAGAACAAAGGGGAGGAAGGAAGGCTTGATCTGGCCTACCAATCTTGTGATAGCCCTCATTACAATCATCTTATTAGCGCGCTCATTGATATCCAACTCGAGTTCTCGCCCTTGTCTCATGAAAGTTGTTGTTTCTTACTCTCCTCTGATTATAAGTGGCCGTAGTCCTGGTTTTGGTGTCTGGCCTTTGATGTCAGAATTTCGTAATAGATTATATATAAAAAAAAAAAATCACCCCCGTCGCTTGTTTGTTGACGTATTGGGCCCGTCTGTCTTGATCTAGCGGTGTAGGGGAGAAGGGAAGGTTAAATACATCCTGCTATCTCTTACTGTATGTTAGCATTATGTCGTGGTATAAGCATCTATGGGTCAGTACTAGCATCTAGGGGTCAGTACTAGCATTTATGGGTCATTAATAACATCTAGGGGTCAGTAATAACATCTAGGGGTCAGTACTAGTATCTATGGGTCAGTACTAGTATCTAGGGGTCAGTACTAGCATCTAGGGGTCAGTACTAGCATCTAGGGGTCAGTACTAGTATCTAGGGGTCAGTAATAACATCTAGGGGTCAGTACTAGCATCTATGGGTCAGTACTAACATAAAGAGGTCAGTACTAGCATCTAAGGGTCAGTACTAGTATCTATGGGTCAGTACTAGTATCTAGGGGTCAGTAATAACATCTAGGGGTCAGTACTAACATCTAGGGGTCAGTACTAGTATCTAGGGGTCAGTAATAACATCTAGGGGTCAGTACTAACATCTAGGGGTCAGTACTAGCATCTAGGGGTCAGTACTAACATGAAGAGGTCAGTACTAGCATCTAGGGGTCAGTACTAGCATCTAGGGGTCAGTACTAGTATTTAGGGGTCAGTACTAGCGTCGTAGGATCACTGATGCTTGAATCCTCTAAAAGCGACCGCAATGTCTCATTTCTTCCCTAACAAGGGGTCTCACCAGGGGGTACATAGCTCCATCAGCGTGAGAACCAGTGCGTTAGTTTCAGCCCACTAGATAGGCCATCACTAGGCAGACCTTCTATACTTACAACAATATCGATATATTGATTTTATTGTTCGTAGTTATCCAAGAAATGTTTTCTTTTAACATTTCTGTTTGCTCGAAGTCTCAGTTAAAACAAAACATCCGTAGTAACAAGAGCTAATAAGTTGTTTAGTCCATGTTTATACCAGAGCTGAGCTTTAACTCATCTTAGCTCACCAACCCCTGAAACATTTATTGCCGCCCCCCCCCCCCCCCCCCGCCTAAACCAACAGCCTGTTGTTAGAATGCTGTTTGTCAACAGTCAACACACTGGCCCCTAACCACATCTACAGAACAATCTGATTGGAAAGTATTTACGTCTCTCACTGTCTATGCTTTGATGGTCATCGCGGACAATGGTTAGCTTGACATGAGTTGCTTCCCCCCCCCCTCGCCCCACCCCCACACGGCTTCCACCGAGTGATCCCCCCCCCCCCCCGCCCCCCACACGTAGGCATGTCAGCCCATTAACAGGACTAATTATACGCCCGAACAGCTTTTGCTGGCCAGATCAATAAGCTTTAAGCCCGAACAAAAATAATTGTATGGCGTAATTAAAATGGTTTTATAAACGATGTCAGAGGGCTAAGGGAAACCACCTCTGGCGGCCAGATGACGTAGTTCCGTTAAGTTACTCTTGTAAGAATGGCATTGTGGGAAGCTGCCTGGGTCACGTGACACGAACTTTCACATGGAGACTCTCTCAGGCTGCTACTTGACAGTCCTAATCAATGGCAACTTTTCCCTCAACTTTTCTTATTACTAACTTACAACAAATACATACGCCTACTACATATAGACCTTTTTTGTGATTGTAGATCTAGTATACACATGATTTGGTGTTTGATCTATGCTAGAAAATATCAGCATGTTTATATTTGTTTGTGCAATAAAGCTATTTTTTTTCTTGTATTTGTGTAAGAGCCTATAAGTACTTACCACACTGAACACAGTCAACTATAAAACCACCTTACCACACACGATACCACCTACCACACACAATACCACCTTACCACATACAAACAAACTTACCACAAGCAATACCATCTTACCACACACAATACCACCTTACCACAAGCAATACCACCTTTCCACACACAATACCACCTTACTACACACAATACCACCTTACCACACACAATACCACCTTTCCACACACAATATCACCTTACTACACACAATACCACCTTACCACACACAATACCACCTTACCACACACAATACCACTTAATAACACACATCACTTTACAACATACAGTACCACATTACCACACAATACCACCTTTCCACACACAATACCACCTTACTACACACAATACCACCTTACCACACACAATACCACCTTACCACACACAATGCCACCTTACCACACACAATACCACTTAATAACACACATCACTTTACAACATACTGTACCACCTTACCACACACAATACCATCTTACCACACACAATACCACTTAATAATACACATCACTTTACAACATACTGTACCACCTTACCACACACAATACCATCTTACCACACACAATACCACTTAATAACACACATCACTTTACAACATACTGTACCACCTTACCACACACAATACCATCTTACCACACACAATACCACTTAATAATACACATCACTTTACAACATACAGTACCACATTACCACACAATACCACCTTACCACACACGACCAGATACCACCTTACTATGTTTCCTTCTCTTCATCACTTCCCACCTAACTTCCAGTTTAGTCTACACTACCTGAAAACCCAAATGTATCACGAGGGTATTGAAGTGAACTTCATATCACAGCCATAGTTTTCAGACTATACCACCACCATACACGGTATATGGCATTGAACTGACCATTCCATTTTGTGTGTCCAGCCCTAAACTCACCTGCTGACCCCGTTTGTTTGTTTGTTTGTTTGTTTGATTGTTTCAGATTTGTTTGTTTGTTTCAGATTTGTTTTCAGTTGGTTGATACACTTTTACAACAGTCGACCTTGACCTTGTTCTCTGATTTAACGAATGCCGTGGATGTTCTGATTCCTGCAGAAACATCTGTCTTACAGGTAGGTCTAAGGTAAACCATTACAGGTAGGGTCAATACAAATTATTACAGGTAGGTCTAAGGTAAACTATTACAGGTAGGGCTGAGGTAAACTATTACAGGTAGGTCTAAGGTAAACTATTACAGGCAGGGTCAATACAAACTATTACAGGTAGGGCTGAGGTAAACCATTACAGGTAGGTCTAAGGTAAACTATTACAGGTAGGGTCAATACAAACTATTACAGGTAGGGCTGAGGTAAACCATTACAGGTAGGTCTAAGGTAAACTATTACAGGTAGGGTCAATACAAACTATTACAGGTAGGTCTAGGGTAAACTATTTCTGGTAGGTTTAATAAAAATTATACATGTAGATTTAAGAGGAACTATTGGGTCGGCGTGGTCGAGTCGGTAAAGCTCATGGTTGCTAAACCGAAAAGTCTCGAGTTCGAACCCTCTGGCAGATGAGGCTCGTTAGCTGGGGACAGCCACTCTTCTAGGATAGACAACTCCAAAATCAAACAACTGCTGCCTTGTAGTTTGTTCTTGGTTGGACAAAGGCTATGGAAGCAATATCCAAAAAGAAAAGCAGGCTGAAATAGGAGTCAATGGCCTCAATGGCGCATAACCTGTTGACACGTAACGCTTAATTGTGTTGGAGGCGTGGTCGAGTCGGCAAAAAGCTCATGGTTGATAAATTCGAACAAAGTCTCGAGTTCAAACCCACTAGCAGATAAATCTCGATCCCCTTCAATACTAATAATTAAAAACGAAGAAGAAGAAGAAGAAGAGGAACTATTACCATTACGTCTTAGAGAAACTATTACAGGTCACAATATTGTCCATGTGATTTTCCGTATGCCAGCGTCTAAACTATAATTTACATCCTTGTTTATTTTGTTGCTATCTATCATTTGTCCTCTTAACATATATCTTTTAAAAAAAGTTATTTATTAATAATTTCGAATGTTTTATTACTAAGTTTCTATAAGCATATGCATAAATAGGAATACAATCTTAAATAGAATGAAATCATGATTAAATGGAACATTCTACCAAATAATAGTCAAAGGGAAGCTACTCATCTTTTATTTGCTTCAGAACAAAGGAAGATAACAACTTAAAATTTTGCCTGCATTTAGTTCTTCCCACTTAAAATTAAAAGTCAATTAAAAAAAAAAAAATAATCGGCCTTACCGAATAACAAACATTTTAAAAATTTACAAGAAGTATGTAAATAATAATGTAGAAAAAATTCTTACAAATTAAAAAAAAAAAGAAAGTGTATAATTTATTACATTTTATAATACGTGTTATTTTTGTTCCAGAATTTCCTAGAAGCCTTTGTAGAAGCTGCCGGCAGTCCCTACGGTTGTCTGATGGCCCACGGGAGAGTGATCGTGGCCACGTCAAAATGGTGGGACCTCACGTCAACAGAGCTCGTTCTTCTGTCACTTTTACTCTCTTCTTTTTCCGAGTGTTCTTCCAGGGACGTCCCCATATACTTGCCTCAAGGAAGTCCAAATGTAAATCTAATTTTTATATATTGCTATCTGTAATTTAAATAATTGGAAATTGCAGTTTGAAAACCAAAAAAAAACACTACATTTTTTAAAATTTAATTTTTTACAATATATTCACAAGTAAAAAATGTTGTAAGGGAAATAACTAAAATATACAGTTACTTCCCTTTTTAAGACAAATATTGCAATTAATTTATATGAGATTTTAAACTAACTAAAAAAGTAATCCATAAAATTAAATTAGGATATTGAGCCAAATATTACATAGAAAGATATGCGTCAAATTGCTACGCATTGTAATATAATGGGAATATTTTCTTGCACTTTTTCCATAATATAGGAAACCACAAGAAAGTAGCAGCACTGTTCTAACGAGTAGTCAAATTCCCTTGTTCTCTTTAGCTTTGCGCAGTGGCGGTACCATAGCCAATGAGGTTTTACCGAGGCGTGGTTATTGCTAGTTGAAAACTATTCCCAATACCCCGCACGGACGACCCTAACAGGTCGGCCAGTGCAATTTTTTACAGCTCTTACGGGGGCTAGCAATTCAAATGTCATGAGTGGAACTTACTTAGAACGGTTTACTTTCTTCGAAAATAGCATTGAACTTACCAAACGCGTAGCCGTGTCTATCAATAAGTTTCCTTATTATTATGCTTCCGCCTACAAAGTATTAGCCTTAAAAACGTATACACAGACTGGATATCAATTAGATCCAATGTATTTTAAAACTTATCATAATGAAATAAATACTTATCATTGAAATAACTTTCACAGATCCCCCACCGGCTGTTGACCTTTGAACTGCTCCGCCATGTTGAAGTGTGTTTAATCTGTGGTCCTACGCCATCGCTCACTGACATGGAAAGGGAGGTAAATCAAACAATGTGGTCTTACTCGGAAAGGGACGTAAAAACATTAAAATCAACCCGAGGAAAGGGGGATAAATCAATAAATTTTTGCGCGATTGTTCACTGTTAAATTAGTGGGGGAAAAAAATGACATTATTGCGGAGACAATTTTGTAACATTTTTTACTCTTAGTCTTAATTTAGAAAAGAAATTACCTTCGTACATTTATGATTCTGCTCAATTTTTAAAATTATTATTGTCATGCCCTTTAAAAAGTAAATAAAATAAATGATTAATCTTTAGCACTATGGCCATGAGGAAGTTGAAGAGGGTTGGTCCTCATTTATTATTGTAAGAATAAATTATATAGCACTAGACATACAAAAATGTTTAGATTTTTTTACACCTTGTAATACAAGTGTAATGATTAACTAGTGTTTTAAACTACATCCTGATTGGTTGCTAAATTTAGACATTCATCTGTGATGTGTGAAATGATATTGTCCCATCTGTGAAATAATTGATTTAATTCCCTTACAGATTGGAAGGTTCTGGACGCCAGCTCTGGACAATCTTAGGTCAGCTCGACAGCTTCATCCACGAAATTTTCCGACATCCATTGAAGTGGACAACAATATTTTAGGGTGCGTTTTATTTTATATGATAGCGCAGGACACGAAATATTTATGATAACTTGCATTTCAGGCAGTTTACTTATTTCATTTACTGCATGCTATAAGCAGCCAGCATTGTGAAAATTGAATAAAAATATAAATTATAAAAATATAATTAGATCTAAAGCTAGTCTGAAGAAAAAGTATTTGCCTCCCTTTTACCTTTTATATTCCAATACAGGGAGACAACCTCAATATTTCTAAATGTTGAATTAAGATGTAATTTGTTTCAGGTTTCTCCTGGTAAACTCGAGGGCCAACAGATGCCTTAACTCTGTCAACCTTCCACGCGAGAGAGACGACCCAGTCAAGATGGAGAAGAGACGAGCCTTACTGCGCTCCTTCTACAAGCACGTTGTAGGCACATACTTCTCTAACAGCAACCCTGCAACTGAGAAAGGTGGGGGTACACAGACTTATTTAGAGCATCAATCATGTACACATTCAGCATCAATCATGTACAGTGGCGTAGCCAGGATCGTCTCAAGGGGGGGGGGTTCCAATTTTTACCCGGGGACAAACTTTCGATTTGCACCCCCCCTCATACTTTTTATATATACCGAGGGGTCTATGGGGGGGGGGGGGGGGTTGACACCCCCCCTAACCCCCCCCTGCCTACGCCACTGATCATGTACACATCCAGCATCAATCATGTACACAATCAGCATCAATAGATATCAGGGTTCGTACGCAGTCTGGAAAGTCTGGAAAAAGTCTTGAATTTAGAAAAGTGAATTTAAGACTTAAAAAAGTCTGGAAAATCGCTAGTTTTTGGGCTAGATTTTTTAAAAGTCTGGAAAAAGTCTGGAATCTAGTTTTAGTAACAAAACTTCGTAGTCCTTATTTTCCAAATAAAAAATTGCGATTTTTAAGTGAATTTACTCCAATTTTTTCCCCGCGCTATCCCGCGGGTTTACACTGTGTTGTGACGTTTTTCGCTGGTTCGCAGAAAAAAAAACGGATGCTCAGTTACTACGTCATTGGGACAAGAGGGAAAGGGAGGGAAGAGATATTTTGTGGCGCGACTGACCGTGTGAATGTGTTACAAGTACTTAAAATTGTCATTTAATGAAAGAATGATCGCCGTCATGATTGTTAGGCTCTCGATTTTTTACCCGCTATTTTTTCATCGTTTGAGTTTGCATGCAGGCAGTCATAACAAAAAGTTATGGGGGGGGGGGGGGGGGGATGTGTGAGTGGTAGTTTAGATATAATTTATCAGTCTGTAAAGCGTCATCCATTTATGACACAACAATTTTTCGGATTTTAGACCCCCCCCCCCCCCCCCCCCCCGCCCTCTGTCCACACGCGTTCACTTACTTTGGATTAATATTAGCATTTATAAGATTAATAAGTCGCAAGGCCTCCTTGGGTTCATACCTGTATAAGTATTTGTTTGCTTCAGCTTAACAAAGAGGTACTATTTTTTATTTGGGAGTCGTCCATAAATGACGTCACACTCCGGAAAGTCGGGAGGAGGGTTTTATAAAGTGTGACGACACCCTTTTGCAATAATGTTAGGGCAGATATAAATACCGTGTTTTATTTACATGCTGTGATGGTTTTTAAAACACCAGCAAAGTCGTCTTAATTTTACTTTCTACTCGCAAGTTACAAGTTTTATGTTTTTTTTAGAATGTAATCACAAAATCTTCCGACCCCTTTCCCCCTCCACGTGTACGTCATAATGGGATGACCCCTTTAATTTTAATCCACCTTCCATTAAACTGTTTTTGAAATCTTTACAAATGCTGACGATTAAAGTTAGACTACCCCACCCCTCCTCGTAACATCGGTCACTTGTGTGAACTCACCGTGACCCCAAGTGGATAGTTGGTACTGCTTGGTACGTTGGGTGGGGGAGGGGGTACAAGTCACAGCACAGTTCATGTTATGACGTATTAAACAGGCATACTAAAGTCTAGACTACTATGACCTCACAGTGACCCCTTCACCGTGTTGTGTGTGTCTGTGGGGGGGGGGGGGATACCGGTTTTTTTTTTAATTGCAGACCAGTTTCTCAGCTATTACTATAAGCACAAACAGTGAATGATGTTTTTTTGTTTTTGTTTTTTTTTCTCCACATTTTTTTTTAACAAGTAGCCCATATTAGGCTACTAAACAAGAGCAGACTTAAATTAATACATTACATTATTATTCTTTAAAGTAATTAACTCTCACTATTATGCAATACCATTTTAATGATAGTTTAATTGAAAACATAAGCAATCAGATCATGAATGAACAGATTACATAAGTCTAATGTTTAAAACAAAATAGCTGCATCATTTTAATCAGTTATTTTAATTATTAAAATTTTAGGTGGAGTGGAGTAGGCAAACTTAGAAAAGTGATTTTCTGTCAATTTGGTTAGAGAAAGTTCAATATGAATATAGCTCAATTGCCTAAAATAAATGTCAATTTAGTATAAGTAATTATAATGACAGTACAAATAGTGCATCAATTTTTTTTAAATTATTCGCTAACACATTTTGTCTAAAGTCTGGAATTTTTCCAAAAAAGTCTGGAAAATGTCTGGAAAAGTCTGGAATTTCATTTTCAAAAAGCAGTACGAACCCTGAGATATGTACACACCTTAATATTTATAGAAATATACACATGTAACATCAATAGATATGTACTCATCTATCAATAGATATATACAACATCCATCTTTCAATTACTTTCTGTATATAAACTATTTGGGTGTCACAATATACCATATTTGTGTATACCATCATGTTTTTTAAAACGTGTACACATATTGATTGTTCCACCAGAATATAACTGACCTTGACCTTTATGCACCAGGTCCCTCAGAGTTCAGCCACCAAGTGATGGACACGTACATCGTATGCTCCGGCCACAAGTGTTACGCCCATACGTCCGGACCACACCAGATCTTCATCCTGTTCTCTAGCCAGATCCCGACCTTTGCCATGAGGTGTGTAGCACTAGAGGAGTCAGGGGTCTCTGACTCTCCACTGTTAGAGTCAGGCGTCTCTAGAGTGTAGGAGTCAGGAGTCTCTGACTCTAGAGTGTAGGAGTCAAGGGTCTCTGACTCTACACTCTAGGAGTCAGGTGTCTCTGACTCTACTCTGTAGAAGTCAGGCTCTTAGTGTATGAGTCAATCTTTAATGCCAGCCCATAACATTAAAATTCCAATTATTTCAACCTTAAATAAATACATCCCCTACTTATCTATCATAAAATTGATCTACTTTATTAAAGGTTTTATGGTAAAAAATATCTCGTACTAAAACATTTCTTTTAAAACATAGTAGAAAAATTCCACCTTGTTTGCAGTGTTGTGTAAAAGTAAATTTTAAACTGTTTCTTTAAATTGCTTTAGTCCATAAAAAACTATTGCAGGTATTATTCTTTCTTTTCTTATTGTATATAGTATTCTAGAATGCATGAAGGAAATATATGAGAATCTTTAATTTTGTTTTAAAAGAAAGCTGTCATAAATCTGTTTACATTAAAATTAAAATGACATTAATGACCATGTTCAACCTATAATAACATTAATAATAGTATTGTTATAATTTTACTGAAACCATACAATCAATGTTATAATTTTACTGTTACCTCTATAATTAATGTTATAATTTTACTGATACCTCTATAATTAATGTTATACCATTAACAATTTGTTTATTTTCTTCCAGGTCTGTGAGTCAAAAAACATTAGACCTGTTCATCAAAGATAAAAATTTCCGCATTTAAGTCTTCCATGATCAGACAAGTTGACTTCATTAATGGCTAATGAACTTAGCTAAAATACTTGTGTTGCTAATGAACTAAGCTAAAATACTTGTGTTGCTAAGCTAAAATACTTGTGTTGCTAATGAACAAAGCTAAAATACTTGTGTTGCTAATGAACTAAGCTAAAATACTTGTGTTGCTAATGAACAAAGCTAAAATACTTGTGTTGCTAATGAACAAAGCTAAAATACTTGTGTTGCTAATGAACTAAGCTAAAATACTTGTGTTGCTAATGAACAAAGCTAAAATACTTGTGTTGCTAATGAACTAAGCTAAAATACTTGTGTTGCTAAGCTAAAATACTTGTGTTGCTAATGAACAAAGCTAAAATACTTGTGTTGCTAATGAACTAAGCTAAAATACTTGTGTTGCTAATGAACTAAGCTAAAATACTTGTGTTGCTAATGAACTGAGCTAAAATACTTGTGTTGCTAATGAACTAAGCTAAAATACTTGTGTTGCTAATGAACTGAGCTAAAATACTTGTGTTGCTAATGAACTAAGCTAAAATACTTGTGTTGCTAATGAACTAAGCTAAAATACTTGTGTTGCTAATGAACTAAGCTAAAATACTTGTGTTGCTAATGAACTGAGCTAAAATACTTGTGTTGCTAATGAACTAAGCTAAAATACTTGTGTTGCTAATGAACAAAGCTAAAATACTTGTGTTGCTAATGAACAAAGCTAAAATACTTGTGTTGCTAATGAACTAAGCTAAAATACTTGTGTTGCTAATGAACTAAGCTAAAATACTTGTGTTGCTAATGAACAAAGCTAAAATACTTGTGTTGCTAATGAACTATGCTAAAATACTTGTGTTGCTAATGAACTAAGCTAAAATACTTGTGTTGCTAATGAACTAAGCTGAAATACTTGTGTTGAAGTCGTTCTGTGATTGTATATACAATGTGAATGTTCAAGGCAGCAAACAGACCTTCATCACCAACATTCCCGTGGACCCCTTGTAGACCTACACCCCTTCAAGTTTGGTCCAAATGTTCTAGGTTGTGATTTAGTTGTTATTCTCTTTGACAGCAATTGGTAAAGTTGTTCTTGTTAAATTCTTGTAAATAAACACGTGAAATTTTGTCAGTGTAAATGATTTATTTATTATGTAACAAGTCCAGATTTTGTTAGTGTACATTATTTATTCATCATGTAACAAGAATGTTTGACCAGACTGTCTTGAGGCAAGCAACACTGGACAGTGGCCAGATAAATGTGAATACATTCAACTGTGTTAGAGTTGTCATTTTGTTGATGTTTTACAATTTTTTTTTGTCATTAGGTCTCATTCACTGGCCATGGCTTCTTGGGTGGGTCAGTCATGTTGGGTGGGTCAGTCTTGTTGGGTGGGTCAGTCTTGTTGGGTGGGTCAGTCTTGTTGGGTGGGTCAGTCTTGTTGGGTGGGTCATTCTTGTTGGGTGGGTCAGTCTTGTTGGGTGGGTCAGTCTTGTTGGGTGGGTCAGTCTTGTTGGGTGGGTCATTCTTGTTGGGTGGGTCAGTCTTGTCTGGCATGTTGGATAGGTCAGTCTTATCTGGCATATGTTGGGTGGTCTTGTCTACTCCTAAATACACAGGTGTGTAGCACAGTAGCAGACCAACACATGTGTAGCTGACACATAACTTGTGCATGGCCTGGCCCTACACATAAACACCCACTCATTGCGTAAAAAACTATAAATTAATCCATTAATTAACAAGTAAAATATAATGCTAGTAATTAGACTTATCAGGTTAATATGAGTATGAAGTTGTCCCCCAATTAGCAGTTAAAACTTGTCCACTAATTAGGAAATTATATTTTTTTCTGCCAGATTAGCAGACAATAGGTAAGTCTTAATCTTGACCACAGCCATTTGAAACTGTAACTTAAGACTAAAGTACAGCAGACGTTATCTGGCATTATCTCTGTAGATCATGTCTGTGACGGTTCTCTTGTTGTTGCTTGGTTTGATTGGCACCGTCTACTCAGGTAAATATCTTCAGGTTATTCTTGTCCAGTGTGTTTACACTGTACATGTCTAGTCTGTAATTCTAGAGTATTTTCGCTGTACATGTCCATTAGCCAACTCCATTAAGCGAGGTCGGGTGATACCCGGTGCGGCACTTAATGGTGTCGCCCCCCCCCCTTAAAAAGTATATATATATATATATACTTAATTAAGTGGAATTATCATTTTTCTGTATATATTTTGCTATTTTTTGCCTTGGTGTCACCCCCTAAATGGTGTCACCCGGTGCAATCCGCACCCCTCCCCTTCGCTACGCCTCTGGGCCAACTAGATCTATATTATATTTTATACTATACATTTCTAATGTACAGAATACATCGGGCCTAGGGTTTGTTTAAAAATATCTTTTATTAAACCAGTTATCTTATGGGCGATTACCCTATATTTTCACAAGTATCAAAAGCAAGTGGACCTTATAGAAGGCCAGTAGACAATATAGACGGCCACTAAATCTTATGGACGGCCAGAAGATTTTATGGTCGGCCAGTAGACCTTATAGACGGAAGTTATTGACTCGTTTCGTCATGAAGTTAAACACTGAGGGAATGATAAACACAACCGTCAAACACACATACACACATTCGACACATAAAACACACTCAAAGATATATACACACACGCACACATGTATACATGTATACACACATATTGTATACACATAATCACTCTATTCTTATCCACATACAACACACACACACATATCCACACATACTCACGCAGGCCCGCACTTTGTGTACAAATATACTGTGTGTACAAATATACCATCTACCTTGCCCCCCCCCCCCCCCCCAGCCTGCAGCCAGGGACGGACCAAGCACGAGCTGAGGGGTGCCTGGATCGCCACCGTCTCCAACATCGACTGGCCAAAGTCCAGCAGCAGGACGACCAGCCAGAACCAGGCTGACCTCAAGACGGCTCTAAACCTGCTGGAGGCTCAGTCCATCAATGCTGTCTTCTTTCAGGTGAGACACGGTCAGGTGAGACACGGTCAGGTGAGACACGGTCAGGTGAGACACGGGGGACACGGTCAGGTGAGACACGGTCAGGTGAGACACGGTCAGGTGAGACACGGTCAGGTGAGACACGGTCAGGTGAGACACGGTCAGGTGAGACACGGTCTGGTGAGACACGGTCAGGTGAGACACGGTCAGGTGAGACACGGTCAGGTGAGACACGGTCAGGTGAGACACGGTCAGGTGAGACACGGTCAGGTGAGACACGGTCAGGTGAGACACGGTCAGGTGAGACACGGTCAGGTGAGACACGGTCAGGTGAGACACGGTCTGGTGAGACACGGTCAGGTGAGACACGGTCAGGTGAGACACGGTCTGGTGAGACACGGTCAGGTGAGACACGGTCAGGTGAGACACGGTCAGGTGAGACACGGTCAGGTGAGACACGGTCAGGTGAGACACGGCTCCTGTCAGAAGTAGCATGATGCGTGTGTGTTCCATGCAGGACAATAAAAAGTGAATCGGAAGTATTGATGTTGAATGTAGATTAGAATAAACGTCAATATTAAAAACTGATTAGTGGAGGGTTAAGGCTAGAGTAACGTTACTATCAAGAATAAACTCGATGCTGTCGTTAGTGATATAGGTATCTTAAACTTGTTTGTAAACCTTATAAACTACAATGTGCTGGTGATGGTTTTTCTTTCTACAAATGCTTGTTTTAATCTAAGCTTAAAAACAGAGGGTAATATATCATTTACCGTAAACACATAGGACAATATATCATTTACCGTAAACACATAGGACAATATATCATTTACCGTAAACACAGAGGACAATATATCATTTACCGTAAACACAGAGGACAATATATCATTTACCGTAAACACAGAGGACAATATATCATTTACCGTAAACACAGAGGACAATATATCATTTACCGTAAACACAGAGGACAATATATCATTTACCGTAAACACAGAGGACAATATATCATTTACCGTAAACACAGAGGACAATATATCATTTACCGTAAACACAGAAGACAATATATCATTTACCGTAAACACAGAGGACAATATATCATTTACCGTAAACACAAAGGACAATATATCATTTACCGTAACTTCCATGTGTACTCACCCCTGCCCTGCCCACCCCAGGTACGTCCTGCAGGCGATGCCTTCTACAACTCCAGCATCGAGCCATGGAGCCAGTGGCTGACTGGCACTCAGGGCCACGCCCCCAGCCCGGCATGGGACCCGCTCCAGTACCTGATCACTGAGGCACACAAGCGGAACATCGAGGTCCACGCTTGGCTCAACCCCTACAGGTAACCCGTGTCTCTACACCAATCACGTGACTCCCGTACCCACACCCCATGACCCCGGTACCCACACTCACGTGAATCATGTAACTAAGGAAAATTATCCTGCCCCCACACACAACTACCTCACCCCCCTCACACATCTATCTTCCCCCACACCACAGGGCTAAGTCTGGCTCCACCACGACCACAGGTCTGGCAGCTCACCACATGGCCAAAGAGTTTCCTGCTCACGCGCACGCCTACGGCAACAACCTGTGGATGGACCCAGGGAGCACACAAGTCCAGGTAACGGCTGGTTATACCTGACCAGGTGTTCAGTCAACTGACCGTGTTGACATTAGTTGACCTTATAGACACCAGGTCAACTTGTACACTAACAGCTAATCCTATTTGTTATAAATGTGTTGGCTAATTTAAAACAAGCACTGTGACTCATACACTCGTCCTTGTGAGAAGCAGTACAACATTAATGATAACACTTAACTATAGAGGTATTAAGGATTGTCTTGTATCCACAGAACCGCGTCAACGCCGTCGTCATGGATATCGTCCATCGCTACGACGTGGATGGTATCCACATGGATGACTACTTCTACCCCTACCCCACCTCCGCCAGCTTCCCAGATACCAGTACATACAACGCCTACAAGGTGACACTGCTGTACACATCACTACCTAGCACCAAATATCCATACACATCACTACCCATCACCAAATATCCATACACATCACTACCTAGCACATAGCATCGGTGCACATCACTACATAGCACATAACATATGTACACATCACTACATAGCACATAACATCCATACACATCACTACCTAGCACATAACATCCATACACATCACTACATAGCACATAACATATGTACACATCACTACATAGCACATAACATCCATACACATCACTACATAGCACATAACATCCATACACATCACTACATAGCACATAACATCTGCACACATCACTACAGAGGACTTAATATCCGTACACATCATCAAATTGTTGTGATCACACAACATCATCAAATTGTTGTGATCAAACACAAGGGTAAGTTGACAATTTTGTCCCACCTGTCAATTCACGGAATGTCATCATAGATTATCAGTGCCTATCAAACAAATTGTCTGCCTGTCAGAATCAGATCAGATCAGCTGATTATGTGACTGTACCTGCTTTTATATAAATGACCCCATAACGCCAAAGTCACTGATTGGGTTTCTAGATCAGGATCTGGATGACTTTATTGAGTCCACCCAGCCCTAATGAGTACCTGCCTCCAGTATACGAACGTAAAAGCGCTGGGGAGGGCTGACAGAAACTCATGCTGTAAGCGTCGTAAAATAAAACAATGGACTATATCTGCCTCACAGTTATCTAAATGTAACATTAAATTATGCCAAATATTTTTGATCGCCATATTGTCGCGTGCCCTCACAGACTGGCGGAGGTCACTTGGCGCTCGCTGATTGGAGGAGAGACAACGTCAACAAACTCATTGAACGTCTGTCTACCAAGTAAAGTAGAGTCGTGTCCCTTTGTAATGCATGTTTCGTTTTGTGATGCTAGTCTCATTTTGGGATGCTAGTGTCACTTTGTAATGTTAGTTTATCTTTGTCATGCTCGTATACTCGTATATAGAAACTATTGATAGTTTAAAGCGTCTACCAAGTTTCAATCTGTTCCTTACCCCGTAGGCTTAGACAGATGTCCCCTCGAAAAATATTTAGGCCTATCAAAAGTAATATATACATGATATTTTATATTTAGTGTTCTGTTTATAATGTGTCTTTGTGGATGTGCTTAGCTATGTGCGAATCTCATGAACCACCCCCTTACTCCCCACTTAACAAACACAAAATTGTATGTATGTATCATTAACCCGCCCGTCCCCCTCGAAAGAAAACACATAAAGTTGTCGTCGTCTGATACTAAATAAATCTTGTGATGTTTCCCAGCATCCATCACGCCAAGCCATGGGTCAAGTTTGGGGTCAGTCCTTTTGGGATCTGGAGGTCAGGACATCCTGCAGGGGTCACAGGTGACGCTCACCCCCCCCCCCCACACACACACCCACTACACACACACACGTCATAATTCATACAAACCTAGTTATAAACACACACACAATAGCACAGACACACACCATTTTCACAACTACACACACGAATCCACTCATACATGTAGCCATAACTTTTAAGACACAGCAACAAGCACTGTATTGAGATGTGTTCAGACGTAGTGCACACGATACTTACTAAAGGCGTCTGGACATAGAACTGACCCCACTATCCGTCACACTCGAGACTACATATGCCTTAATGACCACCGCCATATACGAATGGGTAGTTTTACTTAGCCCTTTTGACGTCACACTGTAAACATCACGCCATGTTGGTACACGCAGGCACGTCCAGTGTCGACGCCCTGTACGCCGACTCCCGTCTCTGGCTACAGAAGGGATGGCTGGACTACATCGCCCCCCAGCTCTACTGGGTCATCGACGGTCCTCAGAGCTTCACCAAACTCCTGGACTGGTGGTCTGACCCGGCCCAGAACCCGCTACACAAGCATGTGTACGCCGGCCTGGCTGACTACAGGTGGGGCTGTGGGGCTGGACGTTACGTTTGTTGTGTTGTGTTGCTGTGTTCTGGTCAGTTTGTTTAGTTGTGCATTGTCAAGTTTGGTACTTAGTGGTGTTTCTGTTGATCAATGTGTTTTATGCCATCTCTAGCAATGTGTCTTGTATGTTGGTCAGTGTGTTCTGATAAGGATGGCAAAATATTTAAACCATTTACTCAACATGAAGAGGAGTGTATGCTCATAGTAATATTTTCATTTACTAACACCAGTATTTATACTCACGTTACCTGTATGTGTACTCATTCCAACTCACTCCAACTCACGTTACCTGTATTTCCACCTGTGTATACACCTATATACCTATCCGCTCACGCACACTTTACTTGTATAGCTACTCACTTCAGCACACATTACCTGTATAGCTACTCACCTCAGCACACATTACCTGTATAGCTACTCACCTTAAGACTTCACCTGTACCTGTACTCCCCCACAGAGTGCTAGAGAACAACTGGAGCGTGAACGAGATCCTCCACCAGATCCAGGCCACACAGGCCCGCACAGCCCACCACGTGTGGGGCGCCATCCACTACAGCGCTAAACATGTGGAGACCAACGTCCATGTGAGTACCTCGTCACTGGGTGCACACACACACACACACACACACACACACACACACACACACACACACACACACACACGCACAGCCCACCACGTGTGGGGCGCCATCCACTACAGCGCTAAACACGTGGAGACCAACGTCCATGTGAGCCTTGCATTCTCTACCTGCTCTCGTAGTATACATGTCTACTAATGTTTGTATACCTGCTCTCATAGTATACCTGCTCTCATAGTACATCTCTCTACTAATGTTTTTATACCTGCTCTCATTGTATACCTGCTTTCATAGTATACCTATCTACTGATGTTTGTATACCTGCTCTCATAGTATACATGTCTACTAATGTTTGTATACCTGCTGTCATAGTATACCTCTCTAATACTGTTTGCATACCTGCTCACAGTACACCTTTCTAATACTATCTGTATAACTGCTCTCATATTATACCTCTCTATTAAATGTTTGTATACTTGCTCTCATAGTATACCTCTCTACTAATGTTTATATACCTGTCCTCGTAGTATACCTCTCTAATACCATCTGTATACCTGCTTCAAAGTACACCTTTCTATTAGTGTTTGTATACCTTCTCATTCAGTGAATATATTTCTGTTATAAAGTGTTTGTTAACCTGCTGATGTAGTATTTGCATACCTTCCCATACAGTGTTTATATACCTTCGCATATACTGTTTGTATTCCTGCTCATGTATTGGATGTATGCCTGCATGTGTTCTACCTTCGTGTCCCCCCCCCCCCCATGTCTAACTAAAGACGTTAACCTGTCATTTCCCCAGGGTCTCTTCACCACCCTGAAAGGGTCGGTCTACAAACACCCGGCCCTACCTGGCGTCTACGGTTACCTGAGCGGGGTCGACGCCCCTGCCGCCCCCAAGGTCACGGCCAGCGGGTCGACCTTGGACTGGAGCGAGAGCAGCCACACGAACGTGCGGTCGTGGGCGGTGTACCACAGCAGCGCCAACACGTGCACGCTGGTTAAGGTACTCAGCCCGTCCCACACGTCATACGCCGTCACCGGCACGGGGGTCTACGTCGTCACGGCCGTCAACCGGCTGGGGCACGAGACGGACGGGAACCAGGTGACCATCACCACCGCTGTTGGCTAGTGTCGGCGTCGTCTGGTTGTCATAGAAACCAGTGAACGAAATATGAGGTGTGTTATTTTTTCAACAGCGTACAATTATTTTTTGACTGAAATAAAGTTTAAAAATCAAAGAGAATATTTTTTTCCATGGGTCAGCGGAAGTCTCATTTTGCTTGATGATCTGTTAACCTAATCTGGTGATTTCAAACTCTCAAACAACCAATGTATTTATAACATCTTAAGGCTAATTAGAGATCAATTTCGAGGAATATGTAAAAAAAAAAAGCAAGCTAATTAACACTTTTGATTATTGGGAGTGGACTTTTTTTTTTACTAAAATCTTCAGAACGAGGCTAGTCCTATTAATTTATTTGGTAGTACACATCATTAGCTTAAGTGTGAACTTCGCAAATGAATCTAATCTAATGTCAGTTTACGAGTTCAGTGGTGTAAAGGTGAGGATTAAAAACTAAAAATGAGATTCGCTTATTCGAAACTAAAAGCAATAAACACGATAGGGGCGTGCCGTCTGTAAAGGATTCTAACCCCCCCCCCCAATCCCCACCCTCACCATAAAGCCCCCAAATGACAACTTTTAGCGCAAAATACACACTCACTTACAGGGTGTCAGCGTGGTAACAAAAAACAAGTGATTATTATTCTGAAAATATAGAGGCAAAAAATAAAGTCCACTCTCGCCATTTTAATCCTACTCCGTTCACAGTGTAGGCTTTATGTTATTTTAATGGTACGCCTATCATAATATAGGCTACCCACTGTATGTTTGAAAGTGTTCATACAATTGATGGCACTTTCAAATGTTCCAGCCATATCGCCAGTCAACTATGAGTATACATCGGATTTTGGTAAATGTCTTCGAGAAATCTATCAATTAATTAGTTTGTTTCCCAACAATCAGTTAGAAAAATTAATACAGTTACTATATTCTGACATGCTTAACTGGATTAGCCTTTACATTAATTTCTATTTTTAGATTTTCATTGCCATTTTGTAGATTTAGGCAATATAACACCTTGGAGTTAACAAATACTGAACGTCTTCATTGGTAATAATAAATAAGCCGATACAAGACAAAGTTAAAGCAAAATGTGACATTTATTTCTGTCGATTATTTATGTGATTGGTCTAAGCTGATCAGTGTTCATAACTATGACTATCATTAGTGATAATGTTAATGATGTTAACCACAGTGTTGATGTCGATGATGTCAGCCCACCACCGTGGTGATGGTGATGACGTCAGCCCACCACCGTGCTGATGGTGACGGTGTTGCCGTCGGTCTCAGCTCCCAGCCTGTTGACGGCGGTGACGACATAGTCCCCTGTCCCCGGCACGGCGTATGACGTAGTGGCGGGGCCAAGAACCTTGACCAGCTGACACGTGGTAGCTGTGCTCTGGTAGACGGCCCACGACCTGACGTTGTCTTTGTTGCTGCCGCTCCAGTCGAGGGTGGCACCGCTGGCCGTGACCCGGGGCGCGGCTGGGGCGGGAACCCCGCTCCTGAAGCTGAAGGCTGGCAGAACTGAGGGGTTCTTGTAGACGGAGCTCTTCAGCGTCGTGAACAGACCCTGGGGAAATGTAGGAGGTGATCAGTGTTTGGGACGTCAATGTTCGCGGGTCATAGTTCACTTGGCTAAGTTTCAACAGTGGCTGGCCACACGCCTAATTTTAGGAACTACATGTTCAATTATGTTCACGTTCGAGTCAGTAGACCGTCCCTGAGTCCACCCAACTCTGATGGGTACCTAACTTACTTTAGGGAAAGTAAAGGCGGCTGGGCATAGTGCTGACCACACTATCTCTTCATATGCCGAGGTCACAGAAACAAGAGAACTCTACTTCACTTGCCCCATAGACCGTCAGATTTGCAAGGGAAGCTTACCCAAGAAGACTAGCCAAGTGTGTCGCTATTGCCACATGCTTGAAATGATAAACCAAATGAGAGGATGGTATCTGATACCATACATCAATGGAGTCTCGTTTTTTTTACCCTTTACCCCCCCCCCCCCCAAGACACATGTCATAAGTAAAACTCGAGCCTTTTCTCCCTTTACAAGACAAACCGTAAAACTATTACCAGTGTACGCCCCCCCCCCTTTGGAAAATTTAGTCTCCTCTCCCCCTTGAAAATATTAAGTGCCCCCCCCCCTCCTCCTGGAGAAAAAAAGTCTGACAGAAACACTGGTTTGAATATTTTACATTTGGACATTTTCATTGGCTTTTCGAATAGGATAAATGTTGCTATTAGAAATGTATGATTGTGTGTATGTGTGTGCGTGCGTGTGTGTGCGTGTGTGCACCCAGTGACGAGGTACTCACATGCACGTTGGTCTCCACATCTTTAGCACTAAAGTGTATGGCGCCCCACACGTCATGTGATGTACGGATCTGGGTTATCTGGATCTGGTGGAGGATCTCGTTCACGCTCCAGTTGTTCTCGAGGATTCTGTCACGTGATCACAACATCGGGATTTCATTTCGCATTTAACAACAGTTAGCAAAAATAATTTTTTTAGAAACTTAACGTTAAAGGCAAAACAAAGACAAAATCTCATGCAAGACTGCACAAACACGCTAGTATAAAAGTCACTGATAGAAAAGTATGTGAGCCAGAAGACCAAAAGCGTTGCTACACCATTCAATGCGGTATTTTCACGGTGTACATTTGGAATGAGACATGGAGTAGTGTAACAAAAAAGTGTGTCAACCTGTAATCAGCCAGGCCGGCGTACACATGCTTGTGTAGCGGGTTCTGGGCCGGGTCAGACCACCAGTCCAGGAGTTTGGTGAAGCTCTGAGGACCGTCGATGACCCAGTAGAGCTGGGGGGCGATGTAGTCCAGCCATCCCTTCTGTAGCCAGAGACGGGAGTCGGCGTACAGGGCGTCTACACTCGACGTGCCTGTATGATACAATGATACAAGGCTGGTCATTGTCTCTGTTTGTAGATGCTAATGTCATTATGTCTAGACATTGTCTCTGTTTGTTCATACTAATGTCGTTATCTAATAATATTTTATATCCGATAATTTTTACCCCATAGATGCCTACAGTTTCACCTGTAATATCTAGACCCTGAATGACACAAACTGACCCCGACTTAAAGGCTGACTTACCTGTGACTCCGCTAGGCTGTCCAGATTTCCAAATGCCGAATGGGCTGATGCCAAACTTGACCCATGGCTTGGCTTGGTGAATGCTGGGATATTCAAAACATCAAGGGTCAAAGGTCAGTGCATGTTTACAGTTCGGGGTATCTAACGGTATCTTTATGTGCAGCATTCAGAAATTGTTGATCAAAACATAAAGATACTGTATACATACAGCAGCTTCATACAAATAACAATCAACTTTCTACTATCATCAAACAGCTGTATACAAACATCAAACGGCTGTATATAAACATCAAACAGCTGTATACAAACATCAAACAGCTGTATACACACATCAAACAGCTGTATACAAACATCAAACAGCTGTATACAAACATCAAACAAAACAGCTGTATACAAACATCAAACGAAAAACAAACATGTATACAAACAAGTTTGTCAGTGAAGACAGGAACTAACTTGTTTGAAAGTCTCTCAATCTGCTTGTTAACGTTGTCACGTCTCCAGTCGGCGATTGCCAGAGTTCCTCCCCCGTTCTGAGGTGGACAATAGGTGGACGTTAATTAGGCAGGTTAATAATAGATGGACGTTAATTAGGCAGGTTGATAATAGGAGGGGGCGTTAATTAGGCAGGGTAATAATAGGTGGAGGCGTTAATTAGGCAGGTTAATAATAGGTGGAAGCGTTAATTAGGCAGGTTAATAATAGATGGACGTTAATTAGGCAGGTTGATAATAGATGGACGTTAATTAGGCAGGTTGATAATAGGAGGGGGCGTTAATTAGGCAGGGTAATAATAGGTGGAGGCGTTAATTAGGCAGGTTAATAATAGGTGGAAGCGTTAATTAGGCAGGTTAATAATAGGAGTGGGCGTTAATTAGGCAGGGTAATAATAGGTGGACGTTAATTAGACAGGTTAATAATAGGAGGGGGCGTTAATTAGGCAGGGTAATAATAGGTGGAGGCGTTAATTAGGCAGGTTAATAATAGGTGGAGGCGTTAATTAGGCAGGTTAATAATAGGAGGGGGCGTTAATTAGGCAGGGTAATAATAGGTGGACGTTAATTAGACAGGTTAATAATAGGAGGGGGCGTTAATTAGGCAGGGTAATAATAGGTGGAGGCGTTAATTAGGCAGGTTAATAATAGGTGGAGGCGTTAATTAGGCAGGTTAATAATAGGTGGGCGTTAATTAAGCAGGGTAGTAATAGGTGGAAGTTAATTAACCAAAGGTAACATATGGGTATTAATTATTTAATGTTACATTGTTACAGCTGAAGGTTAATTAAGTCTGCAGTGATTATCTTTTATTCTGAGCAAGAGACATAACCTAGCAACCAATCAAAGAACAGCCAGAGAATCACGTGATCACCTTGTAGGCGTTGTATGTACTGGTGTCTGGGAAGCTGGCGGAGGTGGGGTAGGGGTAGAAGTAGTCATCCATGTGGATACCATCCACGTCGTAGCGGCGGACGATATCCATCACCACGTCATTGCACCGATTCTGTGGATGAGAGTACAACCACGGCAAATGTTTTCACGTTGTCATCACCGTCTGATCAACATTAGATATGTTTTACTGTAGGCTTCCATGTCAGTGTTGGAGGTGACGGTACGGATGGGATTTAATGTCTGCTTCGTGTTAGGATACTGAACTTTTCTAGGCCTACATAAAGGTGGAGAGTTGGTAGATTGGTTCTCACCTGCACGTCAGTGCTACCTGGGTCCATCCACAGGTTGTTGCCGTAAGCGTGGGCGTGAGCAGTAAATGCCTTGGCCATGTGGTTAGCTGCAAGACCTGTGGTGGTGGTGGAGCCAGACTTGGCCCTGCGGAGGTGAGAAGGTTTGAGCTCGAATGGTTTTTACTAGAAATGTTGTGAGTTCATTGCCAGCAAGAGCATGGTGTCTTTCATATAGGACAGGTTGACCTACGTGTAGATCTTACCTACAGGACAAGTCGACCTACCAACCTACTTGTAGCACCTATTGACCTACCTACAGAACCCCCTGACCTACCTGTAGGACCTATTGACCTACCAACAGATCCCCTTGACCTACCTGTAGCACCTATTGACCTACCTACAGAACCCTTGACCTACCTGTAGCACCTAATGACCTACCTGTAGCACCTATTGACCTACATACAGAACCCCCTGACCTACCCGTAGCACCTAATGACCTACCTGTAGCACCTATTGACCTACCTACAGAACCCTTGACCTACCTGTAGCACCTAATGACCTACCTGTAGGACCTACAGACCTACCTACAGAACCCCCTGACCTACCTGTAGGACCTACAGACCTACCTACATAACCCCTTGACCTACCTGTAGGGGTTGATCCAGGCGTGCACCTCGATGCTCCTCTTGTGTGCCTCAGTGATGAGAAACTGCAGGGGGTCCCATGATGGGCTGGGGGCGTGGCCTTGTGTACCTGTCAGGTACTGGCTCCAGGGTTCAATGGTCGAGGCGTAGAAGGCGTCACCCACTGGACGTACCTGATTGGTTCGTTAACACAGGTCAAAGGTCAACATCTCAATGACGAAATCTCGTGTTACAAAAAATAACTACCTCATCAGTATAGGATTAGGATCTATCCATCTATCCCATTACCCCGACAAAACATAAGCCCCACAGGTGAGAGGCAGCCTGGCATAAAACAAGCCCTACAGAGAATACCTCCTGTACTGACCTGGAAAAAGACGGCATTGATGGTCTGTGATGCCAGAGTGTCCAGGAGTGAAATGAGGTCAGCCTGGTTCTGGCTGGTCGTCCTGCTGCTGGACTTTGGCCAGTCGATGTTGGAGACGGTGGCGATCCAGGCACCCCTCAGCTCGTGCTTGGTCCGTCCCTGGCTGCAGGCTGCTCAGGTGAGAGACAGGTGAGAGACAGGTGAGAGACAGGTGAGATACAGGTGAGATACAGGTGAGAGACAGGTGAGAGACAGATAAGAGACAGATGAGAGACAGGTGAGAGACAGGTGAGAGGCAGGTGATAGACAGGTGAGGTACAGGTGAGAGACAGATGAGAGACAGGTGAGAGACAGGTGAGGGACAGGTGAGAGAAAGATGAGAGACAGGTGAGAGACAGGTGAGGGACAGGTGAGAGACAGGTGAGAGACAGGTGAGGGACAGATGAGAGACAGGTGAGAGACAGGTGAGGGACAGGTGAGAGAAAGGTGAGAGACAGGTGAGAGACAGGTGAGAGACAGATGAGAGACAGATGAGAGACAGGTGAGAGACAGGTGAGGGACAGGTGAGAGAAAGGTGAGAGACAGATAAGAGACAGATGAGAGACAGATAAGAGACAGATGAGAGACAGATAAGAGACAGATGAGAGACAGATAAGAGACAGATGAGAGACAGGTGAGGGACAGGTGAGAGAAAGGTGAGAGACAGATAAGAGACAGATGAGAGACAGATAAGAGACAGATTAGAGACAGATAAGAGACAGATGAGAGACAGATAAGAGACAGATGAGAGACAGGTGAGGGACAGGTGAGAGAAAGGTGAGAGACAGATAAGAGACAGATGAGAGACAGATAAGAGACAGATGAGAGACAGATAAGAGACAGATGAGAGACAGATAAGAGACAGATGAGAGACAGGTGAGGGACAGGTGAGAGACAGGTGATAGACAGGTGAGAGACAGATGAGAGACAGATAAGAGACAGATGAGAGACAGGTGAGGGACAGGTGAGAGAAAGGTGAGAGACAGATAAGAGACAGATGAGAGACAGATAAGAGACAGATGAGAGACAGATAAGAGACAGATGAGAGACAGATAAGAGACAGATGAGAGACAGGTGAGGGACAGGTGAGAGAAAGGTGAGAGACAGATAAGAGACAGATGAGAGACAGATAAGAGACAGATGAGAGACAGATAAGAGACAGATGAGAGACAGATAAGAGACAGATAAGAGACAGATGAGAGACAGGTGAGAGACAGGTGAGGGACAGGTGAGAGAAAGGTGAGAGACAGATAAGAGACAGATGAGAGACAGATAAGAGACAGATGAGAGACAGATAAGAGACAGATGAGAGACAGGTGAGGGACAGGTGAGAGAAAGGTGAGAGACAGATAAGAGACAGATGAGAGACAGATAAGAGACAGATGAGAGACAGATAAGAGACAGATGAGAGACAGATAAGAGACAGATAAGAGACAGATGAGAGACAGGTGAGAGACAGGTGAGGGACAGGTGAGAGACAGATGAGAGACAGATAAGAGACAGATAAGAGACAGGTGAGAGAAAGGTGAGAGACAGATAAGATACAGGTGAGAGACAGGTGAGAGACAGATAAGAGACAGATGAGAGACAGATGAGAGACAGGTGAGGGACAGGTGAGAGACAGGTGAGAGACAGGTGAGAGAATGTTAAGAGACAAGTGAGAGACAGGTGAGAGAAGATGAGAGACAGGTGAGAGACAGGTGAGAGAGAGGTGAGAGAAGGTGAGAGACAGGTGAGAGAAAGTGAGAGACAGGTAAGAGAGAGGTGAGAGAAGGTGAGAGACAGGTAAGAGAGAGGTGAGAGAAGGTGAGAGACAGGTGAGAGAAGGTGAGAGGAAAGTGAGAGACAGGTGAGAAAAAGGTGAGAGACAGGTAAGAGAGAGGTGAGAGACAGGTTAGAGAAGGTGAGAGACAGATGAGAGACAGGTGAGAGGAAAGGGAGAAACAGGTGAGAAAAAGGTGAGAGACAGGTGAGAAAAAAGTGACAGAATGTTGAGGGAAAGGTGGGTGAGAGACAGGTGAGAGAAAGTTGAGAGACAAGTGAGAGACAGGTGAGAGACAGGTGAGAGACAAGTGAGAGACAGGTGAGAGACAGGTGAGAGACAGGTGAGATAAAGGTGAGAGACAGGTGAGAGACAGGTGAGAGACAGGTGAGAGACAAGTGAGAGACAGGTGAGAGACAGGTGAGAGACAAGTGAGAGACAGGTGAGAGACAGATGAGAGACAGGTGAGAGACAGGTGAGAGAAAGTGAGAGACAGGTAAGAGAGAGGTGAGAGAAGGTGAGAGACAGGTAAGAGAGAGGTGAGAGAAGGTGAGAGACAGGTGAGAGAAGGTGAGAGGAAAGTGAGAGACAGGTGAGAAAAAGGTGAGAGACAGGTAAGAGAGAGGTGAGAGACAGGTTAGAGAAGGTGAGAGACAGATGAGAGACAGGTGAGAGGAAAGGGAGAAACAGGTGAGAAAAAGGTGAGAGACAGGTGAGAAAAAAGTGACAGAATGTTGAGGGAAAGGTGGGTGAGAGACAGGTGAGAGAAAGTTGAGAGACAAGTGAGAGACAGGTGAGAGACAGGTGAGAGACAAGTGAGAGACAGGTGAGAGACAGGTGAGAGACAGGTGAGAGAAAGGTGAGAGACAGGTGAGAGACAGATGAGAGACAGGTGAGAGAAGATGAGAGACAGGTGAGAGACAGGTAAGAGAGAGGTGAGAGAAGGTGAGAGACAGGTGAGAGACAGGTGAGAGACAAGTGAGAGACAGGTGAGAGACAGGTGAGAGACAGGTGAGAGACAGATGAGAGACAGGTGAGAGAAGATGAGAGACAGGTGAGAGACAGGTAAGAGAGAGGTGAGAGAAGGTGAGAGACAGGTAAGAGAGAGGTGAGAGAAGGTGAGAGACAGGTGAGAGAAGGTGAGAGGAAAGTGAGAGACAGGTGAGAAAAAGGTGAGAGACAGGTAAGAGAGAGGTGAGAGAAGGTGAGAGACAGGTTAGAGAAGGTGAGAGACAGATGAGAGACAGGTGAGAGGAAAGGGAGAAACAGGTGAGAAAAAGGTGAGAGACAGGTGAGAAAAAAGTGACAGAATGTTGAGGGAAAGGTGGGTGAGAGACAGGTGAGAGAAAGTTGAGAGACAAGTGAGAGACAGGTGAGAGACAGGTGAGAGACAAGTGAGAGACAGGTGAGAGACAGGTGAGAGACAGGTGAGAGAAAGGTGAGAGACAGGTGAGAGACAGATGAGAGACAGGTGAGAGAAGATGAGAGACAGGTGAGAGACAGGGAAGAGAGAGGTGAGAGAAGGTGAGAGACAGGTGAGAGACAGGTGAGAGACAAGTGAGAGACAGGTTTAGAGACAGGTGAGAGACAGGTGAGAGACAGATGAGAGACAGGTGAGAGAAGATGAGAGACAGGTGAGAGACAGGTAAGAGAGAGGTGAGAGAAGGTGAGAGACAGGTAAGAGAGAGGTGAGAGAAGGTGAGAGACAGGTGAGAGAAGGTGAGAGGAAAGTGAGAGACAGGTGAGAAAAAGGTGAGAGACAGGTAAGAGAGAGGTGAGAGAAGGTGAGAGACAGGTTAGAGAAGGTGAGAGACAGATGAGAGACAGGTGAGAGGAAAGGGAGAAACAGGTGAGAAAAAGGTGAGAGACAGGTGAGAAAAAAGTGACAGAATGTTGAGGGAAAGGTGGGTGAGAGACAGGTGAGAGAAAGTTGAGAGACAAGTGAGAGACAGGTGAGAGACAGGTGAGAGACAAGTGAGAGACAGGTGAGAAACAGGTGAGAAACAGGTGAGGGATATGTGTGAGAATTATAAGACAAGAAAGGTTTAAGTGAGAGACAGTTGAATGGCAGAGGTCAGAGACATCAGACATAGATTTAATTGTTTACACCGTTCTAAAAAAGAAAACCACCACTCAGAGGTGTAGCTAGGGGAGGGCTGCCTCGGGCGCCGACCCAAGGCGGGCGCTAAACGGCGTAGAAAAATATATCTTTCTTAGCAGCATTACTGCATTACATGCCAACGTGAATAACAAATTATGAATAGGGTTGAGATATTGATAGTTCACCCGGGGCGCCGGAACTGGCTGTTACGCCTCTGGTTGTACAAAGGAATATGCAATTGAATGTAGATATATTATACATGATGTACAGAAGGCAGTAAGGTGGCATCACAGTGTATATCTGTAGCAATTGAATGTAGATATATTATACATAATGTATAGGAGGTTCTAAAACGGCATCACAGTGTAGATCCGTAACTAGAATTGTAATGAAGAAACTACCTGAATAGACAGGAGTGATAACTCCGAACAAAAGAACAAAAACCCTGAAATCCAACATGTCTGACTACAGTGGCGCTATGTCGCTGTGTAGATGACATTGCATTTATTTTCACGTTTTTAAAAAAATGTGTTTCTGGATTAGGGCTGTTACTACTGTAAAACATCTATTTCTTTAATGTTTTTCTTTAATCTTAAAAAACAGTTTAAATTTTAAAACAGTAAGTCTAAAAATATTTAATGATTAATTAGAACTGTCCCTTTATTGTTGTCCTAATGTTGTCATTTGTTATCCATTAAACAGAAGTATCTACACAACCCAACATACAACATTCGTAAAGCTTGCTTACGCTACATGTCAAAAAATTGTAAACATAGAATGTTTACAGTAGACCGAAGATAAAAACTAGACTGTACAGCATATGTTAATTTTCTTAAAGGGAATAACTTTTTTTTCATATCTGGTTTTAATAGATTTCGAAATCTATTTTCATTTTCTTAACTGTAGTAATATTAAAGACAATGATTTAACATGAATGAGAAGGCCTTTACAGCGCATATGTGCCAAAACAACAAATTCTGCTCAACTGTTGCTGTAAAAATTCTATACTAAAGATAAACAACTTACCCATTCAAACCAGATATGTGAAATAATACGAAATGACTACTGTCCTCAATCATATTTTTTTTAATGAAATTACACGAGCACTGTGCTATTACTTCATAGAGTTTATTGTAATTTTTCTACACCAGCCTAAAGTTTCTTTGATACATTCCATCGTTAAGTTTCATTATCGCTAGGTCCCCAACTTTAGTTTAACTGTATGTTTGGTTGAAAAGGTTTCTCTCCGTCATGTTTAGCAGTAAGACAATATCAGTCTGTGTGAATTTGTTCAATGTCCGAGATGTACACAGAACATGTGTACCAGAAGTGTACTTAGTCTTATCTCCAGTACGCTAGTACTAGGGGACATTGGACTCGTGGGTCAAGCGTATTTAGAGGGTCACTGGTGTTCTGTTGTATTCATTAGTCGCTTCACATCACAGCTAGTGACACGGGACTTACTTTAGACCAACTGGTGATTTGTTGCATTCATTAGTTGCTCCACATCACAGCTTGTCGCACTGGATTTACTTTAGACCAAGTGTTTCCAAACTTAAGGTAATGATTTGATTAGAAGTTTGGCCATTACTATCTTAACTGGAAGCTAGAATTAAGTGTGTTGACTCATTATTGTTAGAAGATTACATTTAAAAAGTTGTTTTGAAATGCGTGTTAGAAGTTTGTTACATAACATGATGTACAAAGCGCCATCCCAGACTCCAAAAAAGTAGGGGACATTTCCCCACGCCGATTTGTTTTAAAGTTATGTGTTAAAGTGTTAAATAAACAAGTGTGTTGATGTGTTTAACATACAGTCCAACTAGCGAATGTGTATTCTTAAGCTCTCTTAACATGAGTACTTCAAACCATGTGTGTGTTTTCCCAGGACTAACACAATGGAAGTCTGGAACATGCAGACTTTGGTTTTGTTGGCTATGGTCTCTTCTACCCTTGGGGTGACGACACTTATAATGGCGCCCGTCAGGTCGACCGGGGACGAGGTGGGGCTGATATTTGTACCTGGTGCCAGCATCAAGGGAGAGGCTTATCAAAACACAGGTAGGCGGGGGGGGGGCGTATTGCATTACAGGTAGGTGGGGCGTATCGCAGTATAGGTAGGCGGGGCCTATCACGGTATAGGTAGGCGTGGCGTATCACAGTACAGGTAGGCGGGGCCTATCACAGTACAGGTAGGCGGGGCCTATCACAGTACAGGTAGTCCACACTAGGTTTAACTTTGACAATAAAATAATGCACGACTCAATTTGTCATATAGTCATATATGACATAAAGCTAACAATAGCTGCAGCTTGATAATCTATTTGTTGTATGTGGTTTAGCTGCAGCCATACAACAAGCCAGCCAGCTCCGCCTATGGGTGGCCCTAACTGGCAACTACACATTTGACACGCCCAACCCTCTGGAGCTGCCCAGCGCCATCCAAGACGCCATCACCAAGTTGTCTGCCGCTGGCATGAAGGGAGATAATTACGTAGGTGTCGCTCACAGTCTGGGAGGTCAGTGACGTCATCTACTGACTGCTAATTATCTTTCTTTGATCTTTACTATTTATATTGTCAATTGTATGTTTACTGTAATACTTATTTTTACTAATTTAATACTATCATTAATGTCTTTATTATCCTTATCATCATGTTATCCTTATTCCCAGGCGTGTTTCTGGCACCGTATGCCAAGTCCTCCAGCCTCAAGGCCGTGGTCCTCCTGGGTTCCTACTTAACGAAGACAAACAGCCTCAGCAACTATCCCGTACCCGTCATGACTTTATCCGGCGAACTGGACGGCCAGGCTCGCATCACGCGCATAGCCGTGGAGTATGAGTAGGTGGTGACACACTTTAGCTTGAGTGAGGTAGTGGTGACACACTTTAGCTTGAGTGAGGTTGTGGTGACACACTTTAGCTTGAGTGAGGTCGTGGTGACACACTTTAGCTTGAGTGATGTTGTGACACACTTTAGCTTGAGTGAAGTCGTCGTGACACACTTGAGCGAAGTCATGGTGACACACTTTGGCTTGAGTGAAGTCGTGGTGATACACTTTAGCTTGAGTGAAATCATGGTGACACACTGTAGCTTGAGTGAAGTTGTAGTGACATACTTTAGCTTGAGTAAAGTCGTGGTGACACATTTTAGCTTGAGTGGAGTCGTGGTGACACACTTTAGCTTGAGTGAAGTGGTGACACACTTTAGCTTGAGTGAAGTGGTGACATACTTTAGCTTGAGTGAAGTGGTGACACACTTTAGCTTGAGTGAAGTGGTGACACACTTTAGCTTGAGTGAAGTCGTGGTGATACACTTTAGCTTGAGTGAAGTAGTGGTGACACACTTTAGCTTGAGTGAAGTCATGGTGATACACTTTAGCTTGAGTGAAGTAGTGACACACTTGAGCTTGAGTGAATTCATGGTGATACACTTTAGCTTGAGTGAAGTAGTGACACACTTTAGCTTGAGTGAAGTCGTCGTGACACACTTGAGCGAAGTCATGGTGACACACTTTGGCTTGAGTGAAGTCGTGGTGATACACTTTAGCTTGAGTGAAATCATGGTGACACACTGTAGCTTGAGTGAAGTTGTAGTGACATACTTTAGCTTGAGTGAGGTCGTGGTGACACATTTTAGCTTGGGTGAGGTCGTGGTGACACATTTTAGCTTGATATCTTATTGAGTTAAGTCGTGGTTGGATGGGTCACGTCATCAGTCCAACGTTTCCATGGCAACAGGCACCTCCTGCAGCTGGTCCAGAACTCCACAGACGCCGTGTACAGGAAGCCGGTCATCAACCTGAAAGGGGTCAGCCATGCGCAGTTCGCTTCCGGTCCCATGCCGCCCCAGGTCGTCAAGTACGATTTAAAACCGGATGTGAACGAGAGCGTTGCGCATGCGTTGATTGGGAGTCAGATCAGCAACTTCCTCACAGTGACCTTCAATAGCCCGGCTGCAGCTGTTGCTGCTGCTAAAATAGAGCTGGAGAACAGCTTCAAGGACGCTGGTTTACGGTTCCAGGTAGGTCAGGTAACTCTAGGTAGGTCAGGTAACTCTAGGTAGGTCTGGTAACTCTAGGTAGGTCAGGTAACTCTAGGTAGGTCAGGTAACTCTAGTAGGTCAGATAACTCTAGGTACTTCAGGTAACTCTAGGTAGGTCAGGTAACTCTAGGTAAGTCAGGTAACTCTAGGTAGGTCATGTAACTCTAGGTAGGTCAGGTAACTCCAGGTAGGTCAGGTAACTCTAGGTAGGTCAGGTAACTCTAGGTAGGTCAGGTAACTCTAGGTAGGTCAGGTAACTCTAGGTAGGTCAGGGAACTCTAGTAGGTCAGGTAACTCTAAGTAGGTCAGGTAACTCTAGGTAGGTCAGGGAACTCTAGGTCAGGTAACTCTAGGTAGGCCATGTAACTCTAGGTAGGTCAGGTAACTCTAGGTAGGGCAGGTAACTCTAGGTACTTCAGGTAACTCTAGGTAGGTCCAGTAACTCTAGTAGGTCAGATAACTCTAGGTAGGTCAGGTAACTCTAGGTCAGGTAACTCTAGGTAGGTCAGGTAAATCTAGGTAGGTCAGGTAACTCTAGGTTGGTCAGGTAACTCTAGTAGGTCAGGTAACTCTAAGTAGGTCAGGTAACTCTAGTAGGTCAGGTAACTCTAGGTAGGTCAATTGGTTCCAGGTCAGCAGGTTCTAGGCAGGTCAGGTAACTCTAGGGAGGTCAGCAAGTTCTAGGCAGGTCAGGTAACTCTAGGGTCAGTTCGTTCCAGGTAGGTCAGGTAACTCTAGTAGGTCAGGTAACTCTAGGGAGGTCAGTTGGTTCCATGTAGGTCAGTTAGTTCTAGGTAGGTCAGTTGATTCTAGGTACTTCAGCAACTGTAGTTCAGGTAACTAGGTAGGTATCCTTAGGCCCTTAGGTGATTTGAGTCAGTCTTGTGTTCGAGGTCTTCACTTTCCCATCCTCACCAGATGGTAGACAACGTGTTGAAGGAAAGGCTAACCTTGAGACCTGACTTCTAACACACTTCAAAGTGTTCATTCAACACGGAGACGGTGTCTAATGCACTAAAGCCAATATTTCATTTCGTTTCGTATTTAATTAGTTTTATAGCCGTCACTCTTAAATGCTGATCAGTTATTGACTCTCCCATCTCCCCATGCCCAACAAATTACCTGACTAATTAATTAACCATTACTACAATGAATGTCAGTCTGAGCCAACACTGACAAAGACAAAGCAACACGTCTCCTGTACAACTAAAGTTTGTTGAACATTCCAGCCTCTGTTGGACGTGAGAAACGTGGACACCAACGGCACTACGTCATCTGTCTGGTCAGTCTACTTACAAGATGTCATCGCTGGAGACCTGGCTTCCAGAACTCAGGTGAGACTTGAGCTGACCAGTTGTATCATCATTCAGCTCTCGTGTAATCAAGCACCTGTCGTCTGAAATAGATGTAATCATTTTATGTCTTTCAGTTACACAACACATAGAATAAACAAAATAGATGGAACTGTATGTTGCATGTGTATCAGATACACAAGACATAGTATATACAAAATAGATGGAAGTGTGTGTTGTATGTCTTTCAGATCACCAATACGATAGAAGCAACAACCGAGTTCATCCTGTCTAAGCCGGACATTCATAAAAACGGAAATGACGTCACCATCAAAACGACCACCCACATCGAGTATGCGACAAATGCGATGGACATTTCCACCATCCCCGAGAGTCCTGCGGAAGTGGATATCAAGTTTAAATCTTATGACGCAATCCAGCAGGCGTTAAGCCAGTCGTCATTGTTCGACCACACCACCACCTGCCGGGATTTGAACCAGGTACTTCTATATTTGACATGCTCGACTGACACAGAAAGCAAGTTAAATATAAGGCTATAAATACCAACACAACATTTTAGAATGTAACCCTCCTCCTATAGTTTCTAAAAAAAAACCAACGAAACAGTTAAGTTTCTGGTTTCGTGTTTTCTTTATTTGTAAACGATCACTGACTCCACTTTTAAAACCTGACTCCGACGCATATAATCGCCCCCACGACACGGTCTATGATCAGTACATGTATGTGTTGTATGTATGGTGTAGCATGGTCGTCTGGTAGAGCTCACGACTGATGTGTGGACTGTTGTGGCACAAAGCTAGTATTTCGATTGCTACGTTGGTTAAAAGAAAGCATGGATCAATAATTATAATGTTATCAATCAAGTGTATTTCTATGGTACCCCTACCTCACCTAACTGTATTTCTATGGTACCCTATCTACCTCACCCAACTGTTTTTCTATGGTACCCCTATCTACCTCACTCAACTGTATTTATATGGTACCCCTATCTACCTCACCCAACTGTATTTCTATGGTACCCCTACCTCACTCAACTGTATTTATATGGTACCCCTATCTACCTCACCCAACTGTATGTCTATGGTACCCTACCTACCTCACTCAACTGTATTTCTATGGTACCCCTATCTACCTCACCCAACTGTATTTCTATGGTACCCCTATCTACCTCACCCAACTGTATTTCTATGGTACCCCTATCTACCTCACCCAACTGTATTTCTATGGTACCCCTACCTCACCCAACTGTATTTCTATGGTACCCCTACCTCACCCAACTGTATTTCTATGGTACCCCTATCTACCTCACCCAACTGTATTTCTATGGTACCCCTATCTACCTCACCCAACTGTATTTCTATGGTACCCCTACCTCACCCAACTGTATTTCTATGGTACCCTATCTACCTCACCCAACTGTATTTCTATGGTACCCCTATCTCACCCCAAATGTATTTCTATGGTACCCCTATCTACCTCACCCAACTGTATTTCTATGGTACCCCTATCTCACCCCAAATGTATTTCTATGGTACCCTACCTACCTTACCCAACTGTATTTCTATGGTACCCTACCTACCTCACCCAACAGTATTTCTATGGTACCCCTATCTCACCCCAAATGTATTTCTATGGTACCCTACCTACCTCACCTAACTGTATGTCTATGGTACCCTACCTACCTCACTCAACTGTATTTCTATGATACCCCTATCTACCTCACCCAACTGTATTTCTATGGTACCCCTATCTCACCCAAAATGTATTTCTATGGTACCCTACCTACCTCACCTAACTGTATGTCTATGGTACACTACCTACCTCACCCAACTGTATTTCTATGGTACCCTACCTACCTCACTCAACTGTATTTCTATGATACCCCTATCTACCTCACCCAACTGTATTTCTATGGTACCCCTATCTCACCCCAAATGTATTTCTATGGTACCCTACCTACCTCACCTAACTGTATGTCTATGGTACCCTACCTACCTCACCCAACTGTATTTCTATGGTACCCTACCTACCTCACCCAACTGTATTTCTATGGTACCCCTATCTCACCCCAAATGTATTTCTATGGTACCCTACCTACCTCACCCAACTGTATTTCTATGGTACCCCTATCTCACCCAACTGTATTTCTATGGTACCCCTATCTACCTCACCCAACTGTATTTCTATGGTAACCCTACCTACCTCACCCAACTGTATTTCTATGGTACCCCTACCTCACCCAACTGTATTTCTATGGTACCCCTATCTCACCCCAAATGTATTTCTATGGTACCCTACCTACCTCACCTAACTGTATGTCTATGGTACCCTACCTACCTCACCCAACAGTATTTCTATGGTACCCCTATCTACCCCAACTAACTGTATTTCTATGATACCCCTATCTCACCCCAAATGTATTTCTATGGTACCCTACCTACCTCACCCAACTGTATTTCTATGGTACCCCTATCTACCTCACCCAACTTTATTTCTATGGTACCCCTACCTCACCCAACTGTATTTCTATGGTACCCCTACCTCACCCAACTGTATTTCTATGGTACCCCTACCTCACTCAACTGTATTTCTATGGTACCCCTATCTACCTCACCCAACTTTATTTCTATGGTACCCTATCTACCTCACCCAACTGTTTGTCTGTGGTACCCATACCTCACCCAACTGTATTTCTATGGTACCCCTACCTCACCCAACTGTATTTCTATGGTACCCCTACCTCACTCAACTGTATTTCTATGGTACCCCTATCTACCTCACCCAACTTTATTTCTATGGTACCCTATCTACCTCACCCAACTGTATGTCTGTGGTACCCATACCTCACCCAACTGTATTTCTATGGTACCCCTACCTCACCCAACTTTATTTCTATGGTACCCTATCTACCTCACCCAACTGTATGTCTGTGGTACCCATACCTCACCCAACTGTATTTCTATGGTACCCCTACCTCACCCAACTGTATGTCTATGGTACCCTATCTACCTCACCCAACTGTATGTCTATGGTACCCCTACCTTACCCAACTGTATGTCTATGGTACTCTACCTCACCCAACTGTATGTCTATGGTACTCTACCTCACCCAACTGTATTTCTATGGTACCCCTATCTACCTCACCCAACTGTATTTCTATGGTACCCCTATCTACCTCACCTAACTGTATTTCTATGGTACCCCTACCTCACCTAACTGTATTTCTATGGTACCCCATCTACCTCACCCAACTATATTTCTATGGTACCCCTACCTCACCCAACTGTATTTTTATGGTACCCCTATCTACCTCCTCAAACTGTATCTCTATCCCCAGCTGGCTGTCAGCATCGCACTGATCAAAAGCACTGACCAGGCCAGGAGCAGATACACGTCCAGGGGTCGGCCCATCATCCTGCAGGACGACGTGCTGGTGAGCACTGGCCTGGAGTGGGTCAACGGTCACCTCAAGCTGACCGAGGACGACGCTGGTCTACACGTGCAGTCAGTGGCCCTCAACGTGCCCATCACCAGCCCCATCTTCCCCGGTAACTTCTACTGTAAGGTGCTGTCGCCATACAGGGCCATGGAGTGGATCAATGTGGACTCACTGCGGGCCCACAAGCCGACCACAGATTAATGTGGACTCGCTGCGGGCCCACAAGCCGACCACAGATTAAAGTGGACCGCCTAAATTACCACAAATCATACAAAATTAATTGTCGGCCGATTATGTTATTAGTTTTTTTGAAATAAACCCTATCGTTTTAAATAAACTAAATATCAGTTAGTGATTTGTATTGTTATATTAAGAGTTGTGCACACAGGTCGATCTCCACCCACGAACCTCACCCTATTAGTAACAACTTCAAAGCCACTTCATTACTTTATACTATTGAAACCAGACACTTTACTTACGCTTTTGTAGAACAAATTTTGGTACTAAATTCAACAATAAAAAGGGAAACGACTAAATTAAATACCAGTCTTTCACGGCTGAGTGATTTCTTTCTCCTGAGCGTCAACCATAGACTAGGAATGGGAAGATAATTGTTTTAGAGATTGCAAGCTACTGATCGGGTTCTGAGTGAACTATCTTAAGTCTCAGCTTATCCGGTTTCAACTTCACTTAGAATAGATAAAAAATGGAAACTAGAACGAATATAAAATCGTTTATAATATTTTTAGTACATTTAAAAGTTCGTAATTGCAAAGATTTTTATTTTTGTTTCATTTTAAAATTAGTATGTTATTTCTTTGAAAAAGATATTGTATTCTTCTCCCTTAAAAAATGAATATTACAACAACAAAAATATTTGAGTTACTTTTAAACATTGGCCTGCTGTTTGAACTTTGACCCATTTATCGTGATGACTTGGCTTGTATAGTTGTAGAAGAGATAAACACGTCAACACACGTGAACACACGTGAACACGCGTGAACACACGTGAACACGCATCAACACACGTGAACATACGTCAACACACGTCAACATACGTCAACACACGTCAACATACGTCAACATACGTGAGCATACGTCAACACACGTCAACATACGTCAACACACGTCAACATACGTCAACATACGTGAACATACGTCAACACACGTCAACACACGTCAACATAGGTACACACGTCAACACACATCAACGCACGTCAACACACATCAAACCAGGTACACACGTAAACACACGTCAACATAGGTACACACGTCAACACACATCAACACACGTCAACACGTCAACACAAGTCAACACACGTCAACATACGTCAACACACGTCAACACACGTCAACACACCGTGCTGGTAAAACTGGCGACTGTTCAGATCTGTGTTACTGTAGGACATGGTTCTACCCACACGACCACCGGGCCACCAGCTCTCTGTGTCGTATCTGTGTTGTATTTACCAGTTGGTGTGTTGTTAGGTTGGTAGTAGATACACACCACCAGGGGCGGAACTACGGTGCCGCCAGACCCTGCAATGCGGGGGGGGGGGGGGGCACGCAATTTAGGGGCCCAACAGCCGACCATAAATACATTTTTTATAGTTAAAATATAATTTTCTTGCATTTTTGACTTGATGGTTGTTTTGTAAAAAGATTACCGTAGCTGTGGTTGGATTATCTTTATTCTATAGACACACCCACGCGCTCTTGTATATTCTTTTTTTTTTATTTGTTTTTAAACCACTGTGAAAGCCGAGTCCTCTTTCTCCTACAAACTTATCATAGAAAAGCAAACGTTCAAACCACTTTCATGACTTATTTCCCTTTTTTAAAAAGCCAAATAGGGGTGCTCGTATGCTCCTTTTAATAGATTTGTACTAAACAAATTAAAAAGCAATTACTTCTCTTATATGTTATTTTTTTATAAAGTACTTACTTAAGAATGAGATTGTATGAAAAGGAAATCTATTTAAAATGAATAATATAAATACGAAAAAACATTAAAGTAAACATAACACGAGACACCATTACTTATACAAAGCTTTCATGTTTTATAAATTGCGTATTGAAATATATATTTGCCGTAAGACCTCTTAACCCAGGGGTCGGCAACCTTTGAGGCGGAAGAGCCAATAATTAAAATTTACATGATTTCCCAGTTTTCAAAGAGCCACTAACACTATTTTTTTTTCAACATTATGGTTTTTTATTAAGATTAGGTAAATAGATTTAAAATAAATGGGTTTAAGTATGAAACAAAATTCATATAAAAACATACACATGTTTTCGCACAAAACAAAGTATTTTAGCTAGCTCTGCTAGGATAATAAAATCAAATTATACAACTATAGTACTATCCCTACCCAATTTAGAAGTTAATAACTAAAAAACCATGTCACTAAAGTCAAATTAATGCACACTGGCACATCATACAAAGTGACTTCTGAATGAAATAACAATTAGTATTGAAAATATTTATTTAAAAAATTGCACTTCGGTAGTGGAAAGCATGAAACCACTGCCACGAGACTGGCTACATCGCAGTTGTGGAGCTGGGACTGTGCATAAGCAGCTGCCAGCTGTCTGTATACACTCTACTCCACCTATTCTTAATGTTTTTATCTTGTTTCAAGTTGTTTTTTAAAGTATAATTTTTTTATTATAGTGGAACTGGCGAGCCGCATCTTGACATCAAAAGAGCCGCATGCGGCTAGCGAGCCGCAGGTTGCCGACCCCTGTCTTAACCATTAGTTGGTCAAAAGAATATTAAAACAATTGATTAAAAAAAAAGAATATAAAAATAAATGAAAAATAAAAAAATACGCACTTTATAAATTTAGCTCAACAACAATTTTTGCTAGGTCATCTATAATTAATAGGTACGTCATCCCAAAAATCACCTACATAGCCTCGGCTAAAACAATCCCAAAGCCAACAATTAAACATCTGAATAAAATCATTAGAGAGTACATATTTCAGAACACAATTGCAAACATTAGCCACAACACATTAGTACAAAACAAACTTCATGGAGGAATAAACCTGCACGATATACAGACCAAAATCAATACATTCAGACTAACACACATTAGAAGAATAATTAGCCAACATAACTTTCACCCTCTAGCTCACTACTATATAGGCATTCAGCTCAACAAACTTACAAAAATCAATGATACAACCCTATAACAGTGAAATAGTGGTAGATTGTATCTTGGGAGTGTGTGAGATTGCATCAGGGAGACAGTGGCTGTGCGCATGCGCGAAGGGAAGAGGAAGGCAAGAACATGGCGTAGCTGGACTGAACACGCTGCCTGTGTGAAAACGAAATAAATATGGAAAACTGTAAAAGAAGGCTTGTCTTTTGATTTCGTATGTGTAATGTATAAGGTAGGAGAAAGGCCTGTGACAAGTTTATATCGTGAACCCAGTCACACAAAAAGCCTGTGACAAACCCCACATTACATAGGAGGAAAACATAGTCCCTTTTACACAGAATGTTTACAAATATTAAAAAACAACGAAAAACGTGTTCACGAAAAATCACAAAACATATACAAAAAGTTAGTGCAAAAACTCTCAACCCCATTATACAACAGAATTCAATGGTGTAGGAAATACGCTTTAACAGACACAATAGACACCTTTAGGAATCTACACCTCAAAACCATCACACCCAAAGCCAGGGAAATAACATACAGACTCATCTACAATTCAACACCCCTAGCAAAACAACAGAAACCCTTTTGCCCACTATGCAGACAACACACCCGAAACGGAAACGCACATCTATTTAGAATGCCCCACCATACAAAACATGAAAAAGACGCTAGAAACCAAAAATAACAAAAAAAAAAACGAGACATTCAACATCGATATAGTTATAACTCTAAACAAAATCCATTAACAAAGATACAGGACGGACCTAGAGCAAAAAGCAAGGACGGTTGCTATCTATAGACAGACTATTTGGAACAGTAGAATAAAAGCAAAACACGACAAGGTACAGTTCACGGGACACGCACTAGACTTGATTTATCGTAGACGACTCGACAATGAGAGCACTCAAACCAGAGGCGTAGCGACCCTTTCCGGCGCCCGGGGACAAACTTTTCGATTTGCACCCCCCCCCCCCCGCGAGATTTCGATTTGCACCCCCCTAAACCTTTCAATTTATTTTTCCAACCCATTTTGGCGCCCCCTAAGGTCGGCGCCCGGGGACATATGTCCCCCCCCCCCCCGCGCCCCCCCCCTCGCTACGCTACTGACTTAAACACATATACCATAATTAGCAACACCACAACTTAAAGAACATATTACACGGCATTTGCCACCTGGCCCGCCTAATCTGACCGACACATCCCCTTTTATTACACCCTCCTGGGCCCCCCGCCCCTAAGCCTCATGACCCCAGTATCATTTTCCCCCCATTACTGCATCCCCTTCGTCCTCACGACCCCACCCCTGTGTTGAAGTACTAGGTTAAATACTGAAGATGATGTATTATCAAAATGCATTTCTAACAACATTAATCTGACTCCCACCCCCACAACCCCCATGTCCCCACCTTGTTTCGCATCATGTATTATTTGCCATTCAGTTTCCTATTGTTGCTTATTTGTGTATTGTTCATCTATACCACTTACAAACAAACATTGTAAAGTTATCATTTGTCTCTATTTTGCTACTATTATATACGTAAAAAAAAATACAAAAAAATTAACAATTCACAGTTTACGGACAGATTTTAGATTTAATTTTTAGCAGACGACTTGACAAATACAGCACACTAACACACACACATTATAAATGGTAACACCTCAGTAGTCAGTTCTGTCATAATAATTTTTTTTTTCTTTCTCTTCTTCTCTCTCTCTCTCTCTCTCTCTTTTTCTTTTTTTTCTCGCCTCCGACACGTAATGTATAGCGTCAGTTGTTTGTTCGCTTTAGTATTACAGCAGGGGCGGAACTACCACACCGCCAGACCCCGCAATGCGGGGGGGGGGGGGGGGGGGGGGGGCAGGACGTTTAGGGGCCCAGTTCCGACCAAAAAACATTGAATTTTTTTTTTCAAAAATTATGTTTTTCATGCATCTTGAAAGTGGTTTTGTAAAAAAAAAAACAACAGGTCTACTATAGCAGAGATTGTTGCGTAGAAAAATATTTTAAAATCTACAAGAGCTATAGTTTGAAAGGTAGGTAAACATTCACACTACTTCCATGACTTACTGCCCTTCTTTAAAATAGGGATGCCCACAAAGCTCATTTAAATAGTTTTGTACTATGTATATTAAAAAGCAATTGATTCTTTGAATTGTTACTTAAATAAGACGTACTATACA